AATTGTACGAGCTGTGGTGTCACGTGACGTTAGTCTGGTTGGCGGGTCTGCAGATTCCCCACCCGCTGCCCCCAACATCGATTTCCATGCCTCGCCAGACCGATATTCCAAATGTTTGACCAACAGTTATTTCGATGTGGCATGGAGGTAGGAGGGTTGTACATCAATGCTGTCCAAGTGGCTTCATTTTGGAAGTGGACAAACGGGTAAATCTCTACGCCGCTGTAGAATAAACTTAAAAAGGGATCGCTTCCAAATAACCCATCAAACAAACAGGGTGGCCTAATTTCTTGTTGCATCTGTGGTCGAAGTTTGTGCCTCCATCACTGCGGGAGTTGCAATCAGTTGATTTTACGGTTCATCATAATGAAGGAAGAAAATGACAAATGGGTCAGGTTTTTTCACGTGGGATTAGGCAACACCTTAAATGTCGGTAAATCCGTACTAAAAACTTATTGCAAGTCCTTTTATGCACCACCAAATTTAGAGAACTCCTTTTTGAGGTTTGAATGGCTTAATTTGTTTTAATTTCAAGCTTTTTCAAAGTACAAAGCTTTTCATCAAACACGTTTTGATACAACATGCATTTTCGCCCGTGAAAATGGGCTCAAGGATAGCTTAAAACCAGTCTCAAGTCTGCTAGCAGAATGGAAGGTTCCACCTCTTTGTATTTAGCTTGATTCATTTTTTGAGAAATTTGCAATGAGAAAGTTTTTTGCCCACCTGACTTTCATAATTGTCCGCCTTTGATGAAAAAAATGGTGTGTTTTAGGTGACATTCTCGATGAGTGCAAGGGAAGAAAGTAAACTAGGAAATGCATACGCTTAGTTAGGATCCCGTCAGCTACTATAAGAGTCCGATTTCTGTTAATAGTTTAGCCTCGATTACGGATTCTCTTAGATCGGTGCAAAAAATTTTAGTATTTAGATAAAATGGGTCATGGCTTCTAATCGACACACAATCTAAAAGATCTAGAAATAAATATTTAATCAAATGGTAGCTTATGTGCCATTTTTAACCAGTAAATTTTAGAAGAAGTCTCGCAGACTCGTGCCAATTGCTTTTTTTACTATACATGTCATTCCACTTACCACACTTTCTACTAAACATGTAAAGCTAAACTTCTTTGCATGATTTATGCGCATTTCTATTTTGTCCACTTGAGAAGGCAATGCGGGTCCACATTCTTTTCAAGGACCACATGAGTGGCTGCCGACTTGCCATAAATTTAAGAGCCCACATTTTATACAAAGCAAAAACTTTCAGAGAAATCAATTAAATTAAGATTTGTTGTGCAATTTATGCCCCACAAAATTTCAACTTAATTTAGGTAAAAATGAGCTGAAGTGGTGAAACACTTACCAAAACTCCCGTTGACATAAGAATTAGGTTCACCCTTACACCATACTTAGGACTCATGCGAAAGCCGACCCTATAGATGATACACACTCTAATGCTCACACAGGTACTGTACGGGCGGTGAGGTTCTACAATGGAATTGTTAGTGAGGATTATTTATAGAGCCTACATGCAGACGTATGAGAAGAAAAAGCAACACAGTGCAGGCAATCATAGTGATATCCGCGGGTTATTCCCGGTAATACCACGTTTTATATCCCTATAAATCACATACCTATTACCTTGTCTGGTAAATGCTAATAGAAAGACAAGCATTTTAGCGTTGTAGTACTAACTTGCTGATAGTTTTAGGCGAAATGTAATTGTAACGCAGAGGAAAAATCTGACCCCACAGGCTATCCGAAAGCTATCAGGACTGCCAGTCAGTTAATCTCGGATGTAGCTTTACCATCGACATTGTATAAGGAAAATGATTGCAAATAAAGAAATGATAGAGGGTGTTGTAGCGTCCCGGGAATTCCCATAGGGTGGAAGAAGGTAGTATGTGCGGCTAAATACATTTATTCCGAAGAGAACAAAGCAAATGGACCTGAGTATGGTCCGAAGGCCAGCTCACGAATACAGGAGCCAGACGAATCCTAAAGTGACCGGCAAAAGTCAGGCGGTCCTTGTACGTGTAGGCGAGCTTTCGGGTCGTGCTTTGTTCTCCCTGAAATAATTTTATCCAGTTCTACTTATTGCCCTCTTCAACCCGGTGGGAAGCCTCGGGAGGCTATAAAGAAAGTCACAGGTTTGAAAAATATAATTTAGAAGAATGGATGCATATAGATTTACTGCTTACGACATTGATTCAGAGCCGCAGCAATTAGAAATTTTTTGAAACCTCATTAACCTAGTGGAGGTAAGTCATCAATTCGTTACTGAAATATGAGTTATTGCGCTGCTATACATGGTTAGAGGGCAAAGGTAATCTTGTCTTAAGATTGTGGCAAAATACTCAACAATACAAAGTAAAGGCATAAAATATTGAAGAATTTTTGTTTTGCGGGCTAGGCTTCATTTTGGTGCTGGGAATCTCGCTACAACTTGGTAAAGGATTGTACTTTAGCTTCTAACTCCAATTTTGACCTTGATAAAATTGTTTGAGCGCATCGTCTGCAAGAACTTTTGGGAGACTTTCTGAATGGGCGCTATTAGCCAATTAGGCGTTTGTATGGCTTTGTTATGATTTTAGCTTTATTCCGTAACTTTTTAATGAGAGCCAAACATGTGCTACAAGACTTTATAATGGTTGTAGCAGATAGCTAGGACTCTGGCAGAATGGTCTGATCTCTGCCACCGCATATAACGTCATTTTATACCTTAAAATCACATTATTTTGTGTGTGAATATCATCGGTTCCTCTTGTTAATGTTCCCACTTGCGCTCCACAGCCTTTTTGTTTCATTGCGTCTCTTACAGACTCTTAATGGTACAGATTACTCTAACACACAAGGGTGTCTTCGTTCTTGTCGTTGGAGGGCTTGCTCTCCTGCTTTTCCTTTTCTCCGATGGCAGCCAAACGAGCTATGAGACAAATCCTGATGTTATTAGTCTTCGGTCAATTTTTGTAACTTTGGTGATGGCAGTTGAAGAGGCTGGTTGTGCCATCAAGACTGTGCATGAGCTTCAACGATCAGAACCATTCAACTTGCACAAAAAGTCTGCTCTTCTTAATTTGAACCCTACTGGACATGTGACTATGGAGGAAGTCGTAACAGAAGCCGACCTCCTCTCGAATTACTGCATAATTAGACGCATCAAACTGCTTCGACCGGATTTTACCGTAAGTTGAGGATTTTTATGGCTCCCCAATTTAGACATGTTTAGGACAATAGACTCATAACTGCGCTTTCTAGTACCTTTTATTTCTGCACTCTCTGGCTGTTGCCTCAAATTTTGCGAGAACGTTTGCGCAAATGAATCCTCTATATTACATATTTAATTTGGCTTTATTTTCACCACTTTCTATAGTAATTGTATGCCTGTTTGGAATTTTTCCTCCATCACCTGCTTTTTACCGTTTTCTTCAATCCTTTCGCAAGATCGTATTTGCCTGGTTTGAATTGGGAAAAAATTTTTCCGCATTGCTTGCAAGAACTCTTCCAAATATATGTTTGGCATCGAAGTAGGTATGACTTACAAAAGTATCATTTTTAACTTGTATCTGTTATGCTTTCAGATGTTAGCGACCTTCGATCCAGCTGGTTCGCAAGTTACTGAGCTATCTCTTTCACATTTGCTGCGCCTTTAGTTTATGTTACTTCACTGTTTCATTTCATTATTTTGCTTTTTTCTAACACCCATTAATTCTCACTCATTCATAGCTAGTACTTTCAATGTCAACGCCGCTTATTTATGAAGCTTGGATCTTCTTATCCGAGCCAAGCGTTCTTATTCCTTATCGGCGCAAGATAGTTGGTTACATAGATTCTCTTAGCAAGCAACTCGCTATTCAAAGCAGTGCAGTTTAAAACATCACATCTTTTTAAGGTTTTATCTATCTGTCGAATCTTACTTAGTGGGAGTAAAGGTTCTAGCAGTGGCTGATGCGCCACTTTGGTCTTGGAGATGAACATTATTGGGTATCAATACTTTACATCGCACCCGTCTACCATCCTGTTTTTGCCTTACATTAAATACGATGGCATGGTCTGCATGATCACTGCCCTCTCACCAACACTATTTACTGCCTATAAGCCCAGTTAACATTCTAAAATTAGAATATTTTAGCATTGGAATATAGGCCGGTAGGTTTATCCTCTTATAGATTGTTAGTCCCACAGGCACAACTTTAAAATTCCGTTTTGGGTATCCTTTTTCGTAGTATTAAGTTGCCTAGGTTGGTTTGATAAGCTTTATGAAGGTTCCATTTAGTCCACTTCTACTCTCCTTCTATTCTTTTAATTCTGTTATCATCTACCGCTACCACTGCTTACATGCTTCTCGTTTTGCATTACTTTTGCGCGTTAAACTGTTTCAATTTTGCGTAAAATTTTGGGGCTTGTGTTGATTATTTCCTTCGCAACTACAATTCATGGTAGTAAGCAATAAACTGCTTGATTCTGTTTTAGTTTTTCCGTAATCCCAACTTTAAAGTTGTCAATTATCCCGTAACTACATATATCAATTCCAAAGAGCTGAACCTCTTATAACACTTTGCTGACGAATTCATCCTTGCTTATACTCGACTCTGGATATCAGTTTCATACATAGCGGACTCTGTTCCATTCTGACGGTGTTTTGATGGGCCGTTTTCTAGTCACAGATCAACTCAGAGGAGCGTGAGGCTCCCAAACAGTCGTCGATAACGTTGGCTATGAAGACCATTCTCGTGGGAGCGCAATCTCTAGCAAGACGCAAACAACTTCTTGCTATGCTACCAGAACAGGACATCTTCTTGCACCTGCGCCAAGTCTCCCTCTGGATCGATCCTCTGGACGCAACACAAGAGTACAGTGGTGTGCTCTAGTTCATTAGAAGCAATTACTCTTGTGTCATGCTCATTGTGACTTTCTGCACCTTCTCCTTTGGGTCTCTCTTTCCTTTTCAGAAGATCTTCTCAGCTTTGTCTCGGTGATGGGCTGTGGATCTATACATGGCGAACCCGTTTTCGGTGTTGTTCACTTCCCCTTCCTTAATGTCACTTGTGAGTTAAATTTATGGCCCAACCTGATGTTTTTCTCTATATCTATGACCCTTTAGTACACGCTCCATGGCACATACCTTGTTTCCTTCACTTTTATTAAGCACTCATGTAATTGCATAGCAGTTCATAGAGTCTCCATATCAGCTGTGATTAGATAGTTTTAACAGTTCAAATTTCCTTGGACATGGAGTTTTTCAATCCCTACTCTCTAGATTGGTCCTCATTGGTCAATCATCTTTCGCCAAATCTGCGAAACATTCCCAAACCTGAGAATCGCATTCTTTCTCCATCAAATCCGCTGCGAATTCTCATCTCCCGGTCGCACAGTTTGGGTAACTTCACTGAGAGGCTAAGAAGGGCCTTCGGCTCTACACCGATTGAGGTTATTCCAGCCGGCGGTTCAGGTAGGTCTGCAATATGATGTCCAATTTGTCTCATTTATTGAACTGTTTGGATGGCAGTTGTTTGGTTTTGCGTTGTTTCGATGGTATGAAATACCCCTAGGTGATTCATCATGTCAACGTTGGTGATTGTGGCATGCTAAGTTATTCCACGGCTTGGAACCATTAGCATATCGGATGTACTGGGTGTTAATTGGTTCATTCACAACTTTTGCTCTTCATCTCTTCCCTCATTTTGGCTTACAGGCTGGCTTTGTTACCCTTATCCACCAGATAAAATGTCTCTTCTATCCCTAATTTGACCTCTTTCTCCCCTCTCGCGTCATACCGTCACACTTTTAAGCCCAGTTTTTATTGCAAGGCACACAAGGCAAAATTTATTTCACAGTTCTAATCTCTTGACTCTGCACTCTGTCGTGGAATCTTATCTGCAGAACTTCAGTTAACCTCATGACAACGCCCTCCTACGTTAACGGCTACGTTGATGAACTGTGGCATTTTCTCTCATTGCCTCCTCCCCAAGCTGGGTAGATTTAAAATACGATATACAGTTCGTTTTTTTTTAAATCTGTTCTTAGCGATGTCGTAGCCTTGGTATCCGTAGATGTTGAGACCTTTCTATTCAGTTTGTGTGTTATTCTCCCTATGGAGGGCATTTATTTCTACATCTGAGATCGTAGGGGTCATCAGATTGCTTGCCTCGACGCTCACAAAGAAAACCCTTGTTTTTTAGCAGCGCTCCAGGCTTTCAGGGGCTAGTCCTTTCTTACAAGATCAAGAGTGCTCTTGAAGAAGGACGATAGGTTGCGATGAATTTTTGTGCAAGCATCTTTTTGTGCCACGTGATTTGTTGTCAGCATTGCCCGCCTATAAATACCATCATTTTCTGGTTGTCACTCGAGCTCGAGTCAAATACTAGCGAATATGTATTGTGGTGTTTTTCATCCGCACTACGTGAATTTATTTTAGGCTACAAGATGATGGAACTGGCGCGTGGTGCAGCGGATCTCTACGTGCATGCGGGTGGAGCACGGCGGTGGGACATATGCGCTCCCTCGACCATCCTGCAGGCGCGCGGTGGAGTGGTGCGCACTCTGACAGGCGACACTCTCCACTTTAATCATAACGATCCCAGTGACCTCGACGCTCGCCAAGGCATCTTTGCAGCAGCCTCACGTGAACTCTACAACACTTGGGCATCCACTGTCGCTTCCCTCATCTTGGATACTACTTCCACTAAATCTTAACGTATAATATATTATGATTTCACCATTTGTGCGCTTATGCGCTTGTTTTTGATTCGAGACTTTGTACTTTGCGATGTCGGTCAGATGCTAATTATTTCTTGTTGGCGTAGGATGTGATTTTTTCCCATTTGCTACTAGCCGCCAGAATTTTGTCTTTCATCCTCTACGAACTTTTATTCGCAATTTGATGAGATCAGTAATTTTTTTGTTAGAAGGTGTAAAGATGATCATCCATTGTTACTTAAACAAGCCTGTAAAGGTGTCGTGAAAAGGTGAGGGGTATTGGCTTTGCAGAACCCTTCGATAATTCAAGCTCTAGTTGGCCTGCACCTTGACTCGTCCTTAGGAGTAGTTCGAAGTAGCATTTTCTCGTTCTTAATTAATTGTGATTAATCAGTAGAGATGGTATTCCAGGCACCCTTTCTCCATCTCCTCAACGCATGGAGTCTGAAGACGGTTTTGGAGTTTTCTTCATTCTTTATCGACGAGAGGGTTTAAGGGAAGGAAGAGTTTAAGTCATACTGACCCATGAAGACGAAATAATTCTAGCTTCATTGAAGCGTCATAACCTGACTGCCGTAAGAAAAATCCCGAGTTAATACCCACGAAACTCTAATTTGACAGTTTGTGGAAATGGACGTTATAGGGCGCGGGGTTGCAGCTTTTATAGCCAGTTTATCGGTTACATTCTTAACTTTCTGCCCCTTTCCAGTGTTAAAAATCTCTTGTTTGTCCTGAGAGCACTTACAAAGGCTTTAGGATTAGCCTACAGTTATAAATGTAGACCTCGTATTCTGAGGACTTTGTGGACTTAACTACATGATGGCTTGAGTGACTCCCATTCCTCCTGCCTACTTTGAGTTAGGCCAGAGGCTCCTAAATGCCCTGAAGAAAGCCACTTCATATGGTAACTTTCAATTTGAAGTGAATTTTTATTACACTGCCTCGTTGCTAGTTGGGTTTCGTGTAGCAATTTATTACGGCTGAAGCAGGGGAGCGATCATGAGCAACTTCGAGGCTTACAGTCTAAGTGTGCACTAAAATGCCTCAAATATGGCTTTCCCAGAAGCTGTGCTTTTTACCTCCAGAACTTCTAACCATCCTCGCCAAGAGAGCTGAGATGATATACCTACACAGAAGTCTGCCATTGCAAAGTCGTCAACAAGTAGTTGTGTGATTTACGCTTGACTGGATACAGTGAGTCGTATGGCATAGGTGAACGGATTAGTTCGTTAAAACGTGACTGAATGGTACTAGTTTACAAAGTCAAGTGTAAAGTAGCATACTTAAAGGTTTTAAAAATGTCATACTTGTAAGATATCCAAAAGGATCACAAGAATAAGGAATAGATTTTGTTTCCTTTAGCTATAACAGTGGAGATAAGGGAATAGGGACGAGATATCATGTAACCAGTTTTAAACAGCCTCGGTACGTTAGTTTTTACCGTTTGACTTTGCAGTATTGCTAAGGAGTTCAAATAGATTTAATTATAAGGTATTTTATGAAATTAGATTCATATTCAGTTAATGCTGCTGAACAGAGTCAGTGACCCTGATGTTAGATGCCGTTCCTCAGTTACGCAGGAGATAATGGCAGATGTAGTCATCTAGCAGGTTACATTTTTTTAGCGAGAATCATGCAATGGTGGCTGATGTGGAAGTTTTAGCGAAAGGATTGTTCAGAACGTCTTTAGCGTCTGAGACTTCACATAAGGTGGTAGGCATTATGTTGAGATGAATGCGTGTATTGTAGCAGAAGAAGAAAATGAACTTGGACTCGGCTTAAAGACCAGCCAACGCGGACAAGAGGGGGACGAATATCAAAGTGGCCGCCAATTGTACGGGCAGCCGCATAAGCAGAGTATTACACACCGATCAAATGAAAGTCTGCGTAATGTTTCGACTGTCCGACTGTAGATAACCATTAAAGCTTAGTAAACGCCCCTTTCGCCTTAGTACGTATGTCAGTTCAAGTAGTGTACCAACTAATATCAATATAAAGACTTATTATTAAAAATTAGGCATTACAGTGCATTATTTTTATGGTTACCTGCGAACATGGTGGTTACTGTAATGCTTTGTTTAGGTGACTATCTGACGTCTGGCGGTCAATTTAGAGCTTGTCTGGGTCCTGTACACGTGGGCTGACTTTCGGGCCACGTTCAGGCCCCATTTCTCCTATTGTTTTCGGAATATATGTATTCAACCTCATTTATGCCTTCTACTACTCCATTGGAAGCCTTGGAACGCTACACTGGTGGCAGCGGAAAGCGAACCCGACATCTTATTAACGACTTTTAGGTATAAGTTGCTTTTGAAAGCGACATAGTGTGTGGGAAAATGTGTTGCCCAACAGACACCACTGTCTTACTGACATTCTACGTTTGCCTTGCTAAACTTTGCCAATTAGCCGACTGATTTCCGGAAAATAACAGTACGAACATACCGTCGAGCAACGGTTCAATCGGATGATGCACTGGTTCAATACATGCAGATACCTCAAATCGGGTTCCCTCGGCCGGAAAGTCGAAATCTCTCTTTTCACGACATGAAGGTTATAATCCAACCAGCAGACGAGACTGCAAACAAATTCTGCTTCTTAGGGAAGAAATCAAAGATTAAGAAACGCATTCTGGCAATCATGAGCTATACATGCGTAGAAGGAAGTCTGACTCTATCTATCGAAGTGCAGTAGATAAAGGTACAGGCGAAAACGGGACGTGAACTAAAGGGGGCGCATTTACCTTGATGACGGAGGATCCCTTGACCCTTCACAACGAAAGGGTTGAGACTGACGTCTGCATTTGG